AGGGAACACTCAGTACTGATTTACTAGGGGCCACCAAAAACCTGATATTTGGAGGAAAACTTCAGTAATGGAGAACTGGTTATAAAGTTAGGTAATGAGAACACAGAAATCTTTTCTCATCATTTGGTATTCAGAGGCCTAATACATTCCAGCATGCAAATACTTCTCAATTGGTAACAAAGATGTGTCTTCATTAGAAAGCAATTTGTCACGTTTTCTTATATTTTGAAAGAACTACAAACACATGAGAACAGGCCTACTCAAAACACTATAATCTCATAAAGTCAACGGAAATTGTTATTGTTAGGTGCCATGGAGTCAGTTCCGACTGATAATGACCCTATGCACAACAGAATGAAATTACTATAATTTTATTTCTTTAATTCTAAGAGCCATTTTTTTTTTCCTTTTAAAAAGTCTCTGAAATAGGGAAATACCTTACAGTCAATGGCAAATCACAGTCGCATTGGCATTTTTTTATTTCTTAGCAGCATTTAACATAAAGGTGTTTCCTAAAACCAACCTATGGTACATTAATTGCCTTTGTTCAAATACAGAAAATACATATGACAATAAAACACCATAAACCCTTGGTCATCAAGTCAATTCTGACTCTGTGACCATTTAGGACAAAGTAGTACTGTACCAAGGAGCTCTGATAGCAGAATGGATCACGAGCAGCGCTAGTAACCGCAAGGGCAACAGTTAGAATCTACCACTCACTCTGCAGGAGAAAGATGAGGGTTTCTGCTCCCGTAAAGATTTTATAGCTTCAGAAACCTTACGCAGGGTCGCTATGATTGGGAATCGACTCAGTGGCACACAACCAACCAACAACCAAATACTGCCCCCAGAAGTTTTCCAAGGTTGTATTCTTTGCAGAAGCAAACTGCCACATTTTTCTTTCTCACATGAGAGGACTGGTGCATTTGAGTTGCCAATGTTTCCATTAGCAGTCAAGCGCTTACCCACTATACCACCAGGGTTCCTTAGAATTACACCAGCGACTATCTAGTTAGTATACACTTCTTAAACTGTATACTTTAAGCATAATGAGTGTGACTGTTTTGATTCACTTTCACTTTCCCTCCATCCCGTTTAGTGGTGGAAGCATACATGATTTTAGATTATAATCCATTATGGTGTGGTGTGGTGTAGGATAAGAACTGGACTGCTCACCACAAGGTTTGTGATTCAAACCTGCTAACCGCTCCTTGGAGACCCCATTTGTTGTTTAGTGCTGTCGAGTTGGTTCTGACTCAAAGAGACCCTGTATAGAGTGGCTGTGGATTTGAACGGCCAACCCTGCATTATTCAAATAGACCTTGCAGTTCAATACTTACCCTACAGCACCACGCCACAACTCCTGGAAACCCCACTGTTGTTAAGTGACGTCGAGTTGGTTTTGACCCATAGCGACCTTTTATAGGGTTTCCAAGGAGCAGCTTGTGAGCTTGAACTGCTGACCTTGCAGTTAAGTTCAAATGGCTTTGTAGTCTGGCGCATTAACCCACAGCACTACACCAGGGCTCCTGGAAACCCCACAGGGTCGCTATTCACAACAACAATGGTGTACTGTAGGGTAAGCACTAGACAGCTAATCTCAAGGTTCAAACTCATCAGTCACTCCTCAAAAACCCTATAGAGGGTGGCGGTAAGTCAGAACCAATTCGACAGCACTTAACAACATACTGGTGCTCTGAATGATCTCTCGGAAGCTACACCATTAAATCATTAGAGGGTACAAGTCCCTAAAATAAATACAACACTTACTCTCCTTTTTATTCTAGTGAAATAGATTATTTTGTAGATAATAGACCTCTCAGAAGGCTTTTTGGTTACACTGATATCATTTAGGGGTGTGTTTCTGTGCACACTAGAGAAAATGAAATTAATAGCACATCTAATTTTATTTTGCAAAAAGATGCTCTTTTATTTTTCATTGTTTGGAATTTTTCCTTTTTGAAAAATGTAACTTGGATTGCTATTGTTGTTGTTAAGTGCTGTGGAGTCAGTCCATTCTAACTCATAGTGATCATGTATGTGGTTTTCAAGGTGCAGATGGTGAGTTTGGACCAGTAACTGGTAAAAAAATTACCTGGTGTGGCATTGTAGGGTAAGCACTGGATGGCTAGCTGCAAGATTGGCAGTTCAAGCCCACCAGTTGCTACTTAGAAACCCTATACAGTGTTGCTATGAGTCAGAACAAACTCAATGGCCCTTAACAACAACATAACTACTAAAATATTCCCGCTTATGGATGATCCTTAGAGATCCAGTCAGGTGTCTCCAAAGTATATTCTTTCCAGTAAAATTCTCAATCTGATAACCTGGGCATCTTGACACCCCACAAATTTTCAAAGTTTGACAAGATAAATCGAAAAGAGTACCTGGCACTAGGCTAATCTGAATTGACTAGTTGGCTTGCCCTGTTTTTCATTGGTTTGAAAATAGTAAAAACAGTTTACTGTTCTGGTGTTAGAGAAGGTCATTATTTACTGAAATTCTAATTTTCAGACCTTGGGAATAGAGGTGGGGTTTTGTTTGTTTGTTTGTTTTTGTTTTTTACCAAAGGAAAATGTATTCTAAAAACCTAATCACCTTTTCTTTGCCACATTCTTCACAGTTTCTTAAAATAAAAAAACCACTGGGAGACCATGGTTGTCTTTTTATAGCTTCATGTGTATGATCTGTGATTATTTTTTCACATGAGTGGCCATCTTCGGTTTTAGTCTCTTAAACATCCTACTTCTACAAGAAATGTCTCTGACATTTGAATCATGAAAAGGGGAAATAATAGCATAAATGGAGTGCTTACTAGACAATCAAGTGCTTTGTTGTTGTTTTTAAGTGACTCCAGTGGATTCAGACTCGTAAGGACCCTGTATAGGGTTTCCAAGGAGTGGCTGGTGAATTTGAACCGCTGACCTTGCTACTCAAACCGACCTTATGGTCCAGTGCGTAAGTAGTGCTTTATAGTCCACAAACTCATGTAACGTTCCCAACGATCCTATAAAAAGTAGCTCCTAGTATTCCCATTTCACAGAGGAGAAAAACTGAGGCCTGATCACATCTCCATAGTTACAAAACCAGTAAGAAGGGACTAGCAGCCAGGTCTTCTATAAATCCAGAAGCTCTTGCCTCTTCTGCTTCTTTCAAGTTTCTCTTTGCATTGTCCTTTTCAGTTTGAATCAAGTGATGAATATATAAGAGGTGGAGGGGGGTAGCGGTGGCGAGTGAAACAACCTCTACTTTTGAAAATGTGCAAAAAACCAAACCTTTAGAAAGTAAACCCTACTTCCAGCCTTTACTCTCCATTCTCATCCTATACAAAACACTATGGAAATTCTCCCATTGAGTTAATTATGGAACAGTGTCTAATGTGTTCCAATAGAAAGCTGCTCTGTTTGGACTATATGGGATTTATGGAGGAGTTTAAATCATTAAATAACCATAGTTAACCCTTGTTTGGTTAAGAGAGCAAGCAATTCTTGAAAAAAAAAAATCGGTTTTTTTTTTTGTTTTTTTGTTTTTTGCTGTCACAAAGAGCACAAAAATTGTTCTGCAGAGATTTACACAATACATCAACATCTGTGCTGTACCTAGGGTTGTTAAAATAATTGTGATGACAGGTGTCTAGGTACCACTTTCTTAATGGTTTTCAATATCCATTGATTTATTGTTGTGGTGTTCCCTCCCTCCTTTCACATCCTTGGCTTTATGAAGGAGCTGAGGAACAGATTTTGCACTACAGGCTGATTCTTTATTCCAATGCTGAAAAGAACTAATAAAAATAATCACTTGGCTTTTAAGCAGAAAGCTTCCATTTACAGTATTTCACCCTCCCTCTTCCAAAGCCCCTTGTTATCTAACATAATGGTTAGAATACATTTCCGTCTCTCCCCTTAATAATTTCATGCATTAACATCCTCTTCACACACCACACACATACACACACACACACACAGAGCAAAAGGAAAAAGAGGCAGCAGAAATCTCAGCTGTACTTCTAGCCCTTTTAAAAAGTTTGCTCTGTAAATTGGAATGAGGTCAGATTTGGAGCTTCTCATTGCACGCGGAGATTATTATTGCATCGGGTTCCAAGCCAATGGGAAGCCAGGGGGAGGGGCTTGGCACGAGGAAGCGTTAGCTACAGCGGCTGATTGGCTATGGCCAAGACTGTGAAAGGATAAAGAGGCGCGGGGCGGAATTGGGGTCTGCTCTAAGCTGCAGCAAGAGAAACTGTGTGTGAGGGGAAGAGGCCTGTTTCGCTCCCGGGTCTCTAGTTCTTGCACGCTCCTTAAGAGTCTGCACTGGAGGAACTCTGCCATTACTGGCTCCCTTCTGCAAGAAGGGAAGAGGAAAATATACATTTATTCATGCCAGTCTGTTGCATGAAAGCTTTTGGGCTCCATACCTTGCAACAAAATAATTGCACAAACTCCTTAGTGCCGATTCCACCCCCAGAGAGTCCTGGAGCCAGAGTCTTTTTGCTTTGCATTGTAGGAAACAGACTAAGCGATAGAGACTATGTCTCTTTCCTGAGCTCCGGAGAGCGCTCGTGAACTGGAATCAACTGCTTCAGGGAAAGAAAGGAGAGGAGGAAAAAAAAAAAAAAAAAAGACTTACCTGGGAGGCGGCGAGAAACTTGCATTGGAAGCTTCAGCAACCAGCATTCAAGAAACTCCTTTCCACTTTTAGCACGGTCTCCAGACTCTGCCGAGAGACCGAGCAAACTGCAGCGCGGTGAGAAAGAGAGAGAGACAGGGAGGGAGAGACGCTCCAGCCTGGGAAATATAACTCCTCAGCCAGAGGCAGAATACTCCTTCCCCGCATCTTTGGGGGACTTTTCTCGGCCCGGAGTTGAGCCGCCCGCCTGCCAGCCGCGCGCGTCCTCCCGCTTGGCTAGTACTTGGCCCGGGGAGCCGGGAGGGCCCGGCGATCGCGCCGCGGCCACCGCGAGGGTGTGAGCGCGCGTGGGCGCCCGCCGAGCCGGGGCCATGGTGCAGCAAACCAACAACGCAGAGAACACGGAAGCGCTGCTTGCCGGCGAGAGCTCGGACTCAGGCGCCGGCCTGGAGCTGGGCATCGCCTCCTCCCCCACGCCCGGCTCCACCGCCTCCACGGGCGGTAAGGCCGATGACCCGAGCTGGTGCAAGACGCCGAGCGGGCACATCAAGCGACCCATGAACGCCTTCATGGTGTGGTCGCAGATCGAGCGGCGCAAGATTATGGAGCAGTCGCCAGACATGCACAACGCCGAGATCTCCAAGCGGCTGGGGAAACGCTGGAAACTGCTCAAAGACAGCGACAAGATCCCTTTCATTCGGGAGGCGGAGCGGCTGCGCCTCAAGCACATGGCTGACTATCCCGACTACAAGTACCGGCCCAGGAAGAAGGTGAAGTCTGGCAACGCCAACTCCAGCTCCTCGGCCGCCGCCACCTCCAAGCCGGGGGAGAAGGGAGACAAGGTCGGTGGCAGCAGCGGTGGCGGCCATGGGGGCGGCGGTGGCGGGAGCAGCAGCGCGGGGGGAGGAGGCGGCGGCGCGAGCGGCGGCGGCGCCAACTCCAAACCCGCGCTGAAAAAGAGCTGCGGCTCCAAAGTGGCGGGCGGCGCGGGCGGCGGGGTCAGCAAACCGCACGCCAAGCTGATTCTAACGGGCGGCGGCAACGGCAAAGCGGCCGCCGCCGCCTCCTTCGCGACCGAGCAGGCGGGGGCCGCCGCCCTGCTGCCCCTGGGCGCCGCCGCCGCCTCGGACCACCACTCGCTGTACAAGGCGCGGACTCCCAGCACCTCGGCCTCGGCGTCCTCGGCCACCGCCCTCGCCGCGCCAGGCAAGCACCCGGCCGAGAAGAAGGTGAAGCGCGTCTACCTGTTCGGCGGCCTGGGCGCGTCGTCGTCGCCCGTAGGCGGCGTGGGCGCGGGTGCCGACCCCAGCGACCCCCTAGGCCTGTACGAGGAGGGCGGCGCGGGCTGCTCACCCGATGGGCCGAGCCTCAGTGGCCGCAGTAGCACCGCCTCGTCGCCGGCCGCCAGCCGCTCGCCGGCCGATCACCGCAGCTACGCCAGCCTGCGTGCCGCCTCGCCCGCCCCGTCCAGCGCGCCCTCGCACGCGTCCTCCTCGGCCTCATCGCACTCCTCCTCCTCGTCCTCTTCCTCCTCCTCGGGTTCCTCATCCTCCGACGACGAGTTCGAAGACGATCTGCTCGACCTGCACCCCAGCTCAAACTTTGAGAGCATGTCCCTGGGCAGTTTCAGCTCTTCGTCGGCGCTGGACCGGGACCTGGATTTTAACTTCGAGCCCGGCTCCGGGTCGCACTTCGAGTTCCCGGACTACTGCACGCCCGAGGTGAGCGAGATGATCTCGGGAGACTGGCTCGAGTCCAGCATCTCCAACCTGGTCTTCACCTACTGAAGGCGCGCGCGAAAGAGCTGAAGATGGGCCGGGGGGGGGGGGGCAAGAGATTAAAGCAAAAAGGAAAAGATGAAGAGTTGGAAGAGAAAAGGAAAAAAAAAAAATTTTTTTTTTTTTAAGTGAGCTGGGGGGCTGGCTTCGGCCACGTCCCCATTGGCAAGGAGCGCAACGGCGTTTGTTTTATGGGGTTTTTTTATTGTTGTTTTTTTGGCCCGAGCTCCCATCCCCCACTTCCCCGGGGCCGGGACGCTTCGGCCCAGCTGGAGGGATGCGGAGGAGGCAGAGGGTAGACAGGGGCGACCTTTTATTGTTATTGATGTTGTTGTTGATGGCAAAAAAAAAAGCGACTTCGAGTTTCCTCCCCTTTGCTTGAAGAGGCACCCCCCCATACTCCAACGAGCTTCCGGACTTGTCTGCACCCCTAGCGAGAAGTCCAGTTGTTAGAGTTCTAGAGAACCGAAGGAATCTCGCCCCTCTCACATCACCAGCTTGGGTTGTTTTTTATTGTTTTTTGGGGGGTCAGCGGGGGGCGGGGATCGACCCCGCCTCCGGGGGTTTGCTTCTCCACCCATTTGTTGTTTTTGGTTTTTGGCTTTTTTTTTTTTTTTTTTTGCCCCAGAAGAAGAGGGAAGACTCTGGGGCGATTAATTTTTTGACCGACGGCAGATGTTTTGGGGTTGCGAAGGTTCGAGCGCTGGGACTTGAAGGACTCCACGCTGGCGAATTCCTGGTTTGGGGTTTCTTTTATTATTATTATTTTCTTCCTTCCTTTCTTTCTTTTTTGGCTTTTTTCCCTCCCTTTTCCTTACCTCTGCAGCTGGAGGAGGAGATGGTGAGGGGGGAGAAGGAAAGTGTGTCCCGCGCGAGGAAATGAACTGAGAGCCTCGTTGGAAGCCACACAGCAGCGAGGGCGGGGGGAGAGACGGACAAGAGCGGGAAGAGGGAGAAAAAGAGAACTGAAATGGATTTGCACGTTCTGGAGAAGGTGGTGGCGTTTTCTCGGCCTCCCCCTGATAGAGAGATGAAATCAGTGAGGTGAGACTTCACAGACCCGGAGGCGTGGAGGAGAGGAGACTGTTTGATGTGGTACAGGGGCAGCGGAGGGCGAGTGGTTTCGGGGGGAAAAAGGGAAAACAAAAAAAAAAAGGTTTATTTCTTCTCTTAATCGGAATCGTGATGGTGTTGGATTATTTCACTGGTGGGGTTAATATAGCATGTTATCCTGTCTATCTTTTAAAAGATTTCTGTATAAGACTGTTGAGCAGTTTTTAAAATAGTGTAGGATAATATAAAAAGCAGATAGATGGCGCTATGTTTGATTCCTACAACAAAATTATCACCAGCTTTTTTTCATTCTTAACTCTTTAAAGGATTCAAACGCAACTCAAATCTGTGCTGGACTTTAAAAAAAAACAATTCAGGACCAAATTTTTTCTCAGTATGTATGTGCTTATTCCTTATAGGTGTAAATGAGAAGACGTGTTTTTTTCCCTCACCGATGCTCCATCCTCGTTTGTTTTTTTTTCCTCCTTGTAAATGTAATCAGATGCCATTTTATATGTGGACATATTTATACTGGCCAAACATTTTTTTTTCTTATTTTGTCCCTTTTTCTTTTCTTTTCCTTTTTTTCTTTTTAAAAATTTTTTTAGACTTTCTTTGCTTTTTTTATTCCTTTATTTCTTCCTTCCTTCCTTTTTTTTTTTTTTTTTTTTTTTGGTAGTTGTTGTTACCACGCCATTTTATGTCTCCTTCACTGAAGGGCTAGAGTTTTAACTTTTAATTTTTTATATTTAAATGTAGACTTTTGACACTTTTAAAAAACAAAAAAAAAAGACAAGAGAGATGAAAACGTTTGATTATTTTCTCAGTGTATTTTTGTAAAAAATATATAAAGGGGGTGTTAATCGGTGTAAATCGCTGTTTGGATTTCCTGATTTTATAATAGGGAGGCTGGTTAATATCTCACAGTTTAAAAAATCAGCCCCTAATTTCTCCATGTTTACACTTCAATCTGCAGGCTTCTTAAAGTGACAGTATCCCTTAACCTGCTACCAGTGTCCACCCTCCAACCCTTGTCTTGTAAAAAGGGGAGGAGAATTAGCCAAACACTGTATGCTCTTAAGAAAACAAATTTATAAACGAAATACTGTTCAGTCTAGAGGCTTTAAAACTGGAGCATTTACAGCAAAAAGGGATCCTGTAGCTTTAATTTGTAAACCACATCTTTTTTGCACTTTTTTTATAAGCAAAAACGTGCCGTTTAAACCACTGGATCTATCTAAATGCCGATTTGAGTTTGCGACACTATGTACTGCGTTTTTCATTCTTGTATTTGACTATTTAATCCTTTCTACTTGTCGCTAAGTATAATTGTTTTAGTCTTATGGCATGATGATAGCATATGTGTTCAGGTTTATAGCTGTTGTGTTTAAAGATTGAAAAAAGTGGAAAACATCTTTGTACATTTAAGTCTGTATTATAATAAGCAAAAAGATTGTGTGTATGTATGTTTAATATAACATGACAGGCACTAGGACGTCTGCCTTTTTAAGGCAGTTCCGTTAAGGGTTTTTGTTTTTAAACTTTTTTTTGCCATCCATCCTGTGCAATATGCCGTGTAGAATATTTGTCTTAAAAATTCAAGGCCACAAAAAACAATGTTTGGGGGAAAAGAAAAAAAAATGTCATGCCAGCTAATCATGTCAAGTTCACTGCCTGTCAGATTGTTGATATATACCTTCTGTAAATAACTTTTTTTGAGAAGGAAATAAAATCAGCTGGAACTGAACCCTACATCTTGACTTTTGTCATCATTATGCCCAAATGCCTAAGACTGGGAGGGCTCTACTGTATAGAGACTACACTGTCTGCCTTAGCTTTGTAACAGGTAAGTTCTCGGAGAGGAGCCAGTTAATACACACCACATTCTTGAGGAATACCAACGTCCTCCAGGCCAGATTTAGCAAGCCCTGACTCTAAAATGATGGAGTCAGCTGAATATGTGTTAATTCTACATGCTTTCTAGGAATTTTCTGCATTTACCACATTTAAATAAATGTTCTTTGTCTTGAGATTTTTAAAAAGGGGAGGAGACACGTGACCAGAATTCTTCACAGATGAAGCATAGTTTCTTCCCCAGAAACAACAAAAAAAAAGCCAATATGGTGCTAAGGCTCTCTTTTCTGCCAAACCCAACATGGATACTCCTGTAAGAGAAATGCAACGACAAGGACAGACCTCATGGCTCAGAGGTAGACACTCCCTACCCCACCCCATAATCTGTGGAGACGGCTTATCCTTTTTGCTAGCAGAATAATTTGTCTTTTTAAGAAGCATCTAACCCCAGTAGTAGTATCAAGACCTGAAGACAACAAAACAGTTCCTCTTGGATTTCTTAAGGCCCCTCAGTGTTTGGTTTGAAACATGCAATTTGCTAAATTAAAAGTGTTGTCTGTTATCTTGAGGTCTGAGAACTGTCATTAACTAACAAAACCCAACTGCAGTCCAATATCTGTTCATTTAAAATGTATATTTTGGATGTCTTCTAATTTTTCAGTACTGGACAGGAGGGGCTAATAAAAGTGTTTGGAAATAATTCCTTAATCAGCAGATTGCTTGTAGGTAAGGGAGTATCCTTCATTCTGGAATGTTCAGCAGGAACGTTTTTTAGAGCCTGTAGTTGAATTTACTTTTGTTCAATGAACAGCAACACACACACACACACACACACACACACACACACCGTCCCAATAGGAGAACTGTGTGTGTGTGTCTCAGTGTAATTTTGTCTTTTAAAGGTCACTATGAATGCTTAAAACAAACCCACTACCATCAAGTGAATTCCCATTCTCCAGTGTTTCTAGTTTCCAATTTTTTTCATGTATTCTGCTAATTAACTATAATTGCATTCATGTTCTATAATTGTATAATATCCCATTTTAGAAAACAATTTAAAAAGACAAATTTTGAAAAGATGTTTGTAAAGGGAGGACAATCATTAAGAAGTGCTTAAATAGAATTTTTGTTTATTATAAGGATAATGCACATTTTTTGAACATCCCAAATATTAAAACCTTGACATATGGAGCCTTATGTTGAATATTATTTTTTAGTGGCATACATCTTTTAAAGTGTATTTTTATTGTGTAGAGTTATTTTGCTAGAACTTTATTTTTCCGTGTAAGGTCAGATGTTTAAAATATTTTCTTAAAGAATTTTGATAACATTGCTTTCAAAACGAAAGCATGAATATAAGAAAAAGAAACATTTTTGTGTTCTCTTTCCTCTGAATCTTTTTCTTTTTAAGGATACTGTCTGAGGTGATGCAAGGCACAATAAACCTGATAAACCAAACAGTGAAGCATGACTTTTAGTATTGCTTCTGGCCCTGTGCTCCATCAGAAATGTGAATTAGTAAATACTTGCTTAAGCAAGTTTTGTCAGTTCCTGGTTGAATTCCTTTAAGTGCCAAGAAAAAAAGAGGCTGAAAGCTGATACGGAGAGCTGAGTGCATGAAAGAACTTCCTGGATTTGCTCTCTGGGGTGCTGGAGGCCCTAAGGGATTCAGAGAAAAGCAGGATTGCCAAGTGGACATCAACATTCACATCGTCTTTCCTATGTTTATAGGGTAACATGAATTAGAAGCCATGGTATGGGGAATGCCATGGGTCAGAACATTTCATCTTTTTTAAAAGTATCAATTGTGCGGTGGGGAGGGGGTTTCCAAAGAAGTATTTGGGAAGAGCCCTATGTCCAAAAAACTAAGAATTCTACTAAGAACAGAAATTCATCTTATCCCTTTGGATTTCTTGGTTGGTGGGTTTTGTTTTGTTCGGTTTTGTTTCTGCCTAACACCACCCCACCCTCTTCTTTTGAGATCTGTAAAACAACTCACAGGTTTAGTACTTCCAGTCCTGATTCAGCCAGAAAAATTTTCTCCATATACTTTACAATTTTCGTCTGGTTATTTGTAAGCTAAAGTAGAGATACAAGAGAAT